GGTGCCTGCCAGCCCCGCCGCTGCCCGGGCTGGTGCTTCTGTGTATCAAATAATGTCCCGTTTATTTTTTATGGTGTTCCATCTGAACGGTCACGCTTTTCCCTCTTGGTATTTCTTATTTTGCCAGTTCTGCCAGCAGATGATCCAGAGGGCTGGGAGCGCTTTCGGCAGAATTCACTGGTTTTCAAGCCTTTGTGCTTTCTCCGGAGGTTAGATACCAAAATCTGACCTGAACCTTTCCTGGGTCTCAACCAGCTGGACCCTGAGCAGTGAGGGGTGGTCAAACCTGGCTGAGCTCCTTGCCCCTGTTGAAGTAGTGGTCATTGCAGCGACCTTGCTGGCCGGTAAAATGAGCAGATTATGCCAGGGAGTGGAAAAAAAAAAAAACAAAACAAACCACCCCACCTGGGGCAAGAGCCTGACTTGTGCAAGCGTGCCTGCGCCAGCGTGGCAAGGGCTCTAGCGTGGGCATGCAGCGAGGGCTATTCTCCCCTTTCAGACTCTTGTTTATCGCTGGCCCTTGCAGGGAGAGCAGGCCCAGCTCTTCACCGAGATAGCATTAGGCCGGAGGGATGAGAACATGCCGCTTTTTCTCCCTTGTTATTTTTCGTCTGGACTCTGGGCCTCACACATCTGCCCTGCCCGATGAGTGTGTCAGGGACAGACCACAGACACCATCTGTGCGCTGCAGCTTTGACATAAAAAATGCTGCTATAGCATCAAGCAAGAAAAAAACACACAGTTTTTTCAGTATTTAAAAGATGCAAGCAAGGAATAGAAGCAATTAAAACTTGCTTCATCCCATTATCTGTTATTTTAAGAGTCTCCTCCTCTTGTGTCCCATTTTAATGCACTTGCTGAGAATACTGGCTTTTTATTAGTCTCTTGGCTGTCCTTGGAACTTCTCTGTTCCCTTGTGGACGCTCAAGTTCATCTCCTTGAAGTTAGAAAATAGGACGCTTTGAGGCAAAAATCCTATGCCTGGAGCCATTCTATTTTTTTTTTTTTTTTTTTAACCAAAAAAGAAAAGAGTTGCTGCTGTTCCCAGAAGAAAGTCCTTTTAAGCGTGGGATTGTTCGATCCGGTGTGTCTTCTGAACCTGTCCCGGTAACGCAGGGCCGGCACTGACCTCTGCCAGCACGGTGGGGACCAGCGTTAATATAACCCAGCATCTTATCTGCTCCCCGGCTGCTGTCACTCCCAATTTAGGCACAGCCTAGTCTTGGGAACCGTGGAAATAATTAAAAGGCTTGGCTGGGGCTGGGGCCTGTGGCCGGGGAGCCCCGCGTTGGCCTCCCCGGGGCCTCCACAGCGGCCTGCGCTGGACCACGCACCCGAGGCTGGGCGGGCTCTCTGCGGCCAGGCCCGCCGCTTCTTGGGCCTAGAAATGGCGGAGAAACGGGCAAAACCGGCCAAAACCCGAGGCCCGGCGGCCTCCCTCACGGCGAGCCCCCGCGTTCCCCTGGCAACCGCGCGGTGCCAAGATGGCGGCCGGGGCCGGGCAGGAAGGAGG